GCAGTCGGCATATGGAGAATAGACCAAGGCCTGAACGCGTTAAGAACTGAATTCACAATAGGTCATGTTCTGAATAAGACTGGCCAAGAATTTATCTCATTGATGTTTCTTAGGGAAATCCTAAGTAGAGACCCAGGACAAATTATTGAGAACAATAACCATTATAGTATCAATGGCGGTTATGAAGGGGGAGTGCCATAGTTGCATTAAGCAAGTAGCTAGCTGAGTATTTGGTTTATGAGAAATGGGTGAGTTATAAGTCAACCAAGTACCACACGAATTAGAGGCAAGGGTTTATAGCTCCAGGTTGTACAAGGTGTAAGTCCTTATAGCAGAAGGATTACCTCAAGCAAGACCTTAGGTTCTCACCAATGAACAAATTTCGAGGTCGAAATTTTTCTTAAGGGGGGAGGAAATGTGATACCTCGACTTGGATTTAAGATCCAACGATAAGTACTGGATGAGCTGGAGCAATAAACTGATTCGGAATTTAAGATCCAACGATAAGTACTGGATGAGCCGGAGCAATAAACTGATTCGGAATTTTGTCCCATCACGCCCTTGGACCGAGCGAGGGAATTAAAAAGGGCAAGTAGGCACACAAAGCTACTCGATGCTAAAGAGTTTGTTGAGAATACCTCCTATGCCCAGAAGGAAGTATAAAACGTCTGGTAAACTATACGGGAAGAGCAATGGACATCATCGATGTTCGTATAGCAGGAGTAAATTCTCGAGCCAAACAAGACCAAGAATGAGGAGTATGAAAGAATGAGACCGAACAAATTTCGGGGACGAAATTTTTATAAGGGTGGAGGAAATGTTACACCCCGATATCTGGGTTCAGGTTCGACCATACTAAGTGAATGGTTTGATCGATGGTTACATACGAAAAGACAAAACCAAACCAAGTTAAGGATCATGGCCTAATTAATTGACGTGGTCCAAATTGATCGTTGCCTGAATGTAGGGTTGCAACATGGATTGAGAGAAACGATAATAGTAATAATAATTTTATTACTAATGTAATGAGTATATAAATATATAAAGCCTTTACAAACCCAAAACCAAGTTGTTCCAAGCGGCAGCCGAGAAAGAAGAAGAAAAAAATAAACCTCTGTAGAAACCTCTTGGAATCCCCATCCGTTCCTTCCCTTCAAGTAGTTCCGCCGCTCGCACCGCATCCCTGAAATTAATCATTAGTTATCATGGATGATGGGGAAGGTGGAAAGTTCACTCCGAGAAGGGGTGGTTTCATGAACGATGACCTTAGGGGCTGCAGAGGGAAAGCCCTTCAGGTGGTGTCCATCGTGTTCCGCAACCGGGAAGCTCTTATCGAGAAGAAGAAAGCTATCAGGGAAGGGGGAAAGAGTTTGCTGGATACGGGTGGTTAAGACAAGGCTTTGAGTGGTGATGATTAGTGGGCGATCGACAAGCTTCGGGAACGTACTTGGAGACAGCCATGGGGATGCGAGGAGATGGGAATCGACAAAATCAAAGGTAATGATTCTCCTATTTTATTATGGTTGGGATGCGACGGTAATGATCCTAGCGCGGTGATGATTAGCTCGATGATGAATGCTTTCTTGTCATGGCGTTATTTTGAGCTGAAAGATTTGGGTTAGACACGTTAATAAGTGGATTATTAGGAGGAGTAGCTGTCAAAGAAAAGGTGGATTATTAGCAAGAGTCAATTGGGAAGATGGGCCAAGAAGGATTTACCTTTTGTGGGGGTGTAATTCTTATACACGTGTGTCCTGGATCATTGCTTAGGTGGAAGGTTAGTGCATTTGTGGCCTGAGTAAGTGAAGGTTAGTGCATGGAATGGATTCATGATGCATAAAGTAGGGTGAAGACTACGTCCAGTAGCAAGAGGATGAGATGTGCAAATCAGGACATCGACTGCATAAATTGAAGCGCAAGGTCAAGTCCGTTGCTGGTGAAAGTGAAAGGTGAGTGTAAAGGGGGTAAAATCTCCGTCGAGGTCTTTTAGTTTATGCCTTTTTAATTCAGTTATGTTATTAAATTTTTATAGTATGCGCGTTATGTGTGTGAGGCATCCCACCGCCTATAAGGGTGGAGGCACGCGTTGTGCTATTTATGTGATGTATGATTGATGGTAATTGAACCCCCGGGCGGTTGGGCCACTACTGGACGCGGTAGATGGTCAGGTCACTACTGGACGGCGATACGTAACGCAGTAGTTGACCGGGCATGGACTGGACGGCGATACGTAACGCAGTACCATTGCCTTGAGGATAGGGACACCGGACGGCGATACGTAACGCGGTGATTCCCTAGTGATAAGTATATAAATTAAGGTAGTAGTAGAGAACTTCTTTGAGTTAAAGCTAAATGTTGAGAACTGCTATGAGTTAAAGTTGAAATGAGTTATTAAGGATGAAAGTGAGAACGACTTTCATCTAAGGAAAGGAAACGCTAATAACGTGTTTTAGTAAGGAGATTTCTAAGGGCAGAGACCTTAGGAAGTAACGACGAGACTGACCCCTTCTCACTCACCAGGTTGAGGTTGGGTTAGCGGAAGTGCATCCTGAGAAGAAGTAAGATGAGGCGAGCGACCGTACCAGTACTGGTGAGATGTCGAGGAGCTGGGTGAAGAGTTAGAGTTAAAATTTGGAAGTTATTTTATGATTATTTTGTTATGAGTATATGTACTGGAGATTCCAGGTTCAAGATTCTGTGTTAAGTCGTTTTGAGTGTTTGAGTTTGAGATTTTGCCCAAGTGTTGGGGCTTTTCGTTTAAAGTTCTTAAATAATATCAGTTGTTTATTTCAAAATGTGGTTTGGGTTGCTCCGGAGTAACCGGTTTTCGGTTTGAGTTATGGTTTGGTTTTTGAAAAAGGTCGGGTCGTTACATGCTAAGCACAAAATATGCACAACCCCTAAGTTGCTAAGCACAAGCATGCAAAATCATGGGGAAAAATACCTCAAACATTAAATTGAACAATGCCCAATATCAATCATCCAAACCACATACAAGAAAACTACATGGTAGGGTTTAGGGTTTCACTACACCCAAGTGGGAGAAGGACTACTCCATGGAAGAAGTGGGACGAACAAAGGAGAAAAAGGTGGAAACCATCTTTTGGGGATGCCTCCTCTCTTCTTCAACCTTGAGCTGGGATTTCCTTGGGGAAATCTTCCCAAAACCTCATTTGAAGCCAAGCCCTAACCTCTTCTTCTCTTTTGGTTATGTTTCTCTCACTAAAATGCAGAAGAAGTGTTTCTCTCACAAAAGTGGCTCTTCCTTTCTCTTTCCTTGCAGCTCAACTTTTAACCTCGAGAAGAGCTGAGTTCACGGTCGTGAACCATCAAACGCGTCCGTGAACTCACGCCTTGCGCCAAAACACTCCGCATCGATCACGGAAGTTCACGGACAACTGCTTGTGTTCACGGTCTTAGTGACTATGAACTCGCCTAGCGTCAGTAACCTTCAACTTGGCTCTGGACTCCTTGCGCTTCACGGTCAACTCCCCTTCTTCATGGTCTTGTACGACCGTGAGCTCCTGCATTTAGCCGTGAACTTGCGTTTTTTCACCTCTTCTCCCGGTTTTCGATCCTTTTCGCCGATCCGTTGACTCCGAGGCTGGTTCCACCTATTAAATCCTGAAAATCACTCAAACACGAAGAACCTCGCGTAAAACCAACCTCTAATGAGCGAATTTGGCACCGACATCTAAGCAAACCGGGGGCAAAATATGTGCAATTAGGCTCGAATCACATACCGGAGGAGTTCTTGTGAGAACTACGAAGTTAAACGTGCTCAGTGTGGAGTACAACAATGATGGGTGACCTTATGAGAAGTCACCTTAAATTACACCCCAAGTCATAAACCATGAGGGTCGAGATCCAAAGCGGACAATATATTCATCGAGAAAAGTTTCGGAATGTTGAAAAACTCTGCTTTAAGCGGACAATATATTCATCACGAGCCTCTGCGGCACCCTCTCTCTTACTTTTATTTTGAATTGCTAGCTCTCCCTTCTCTCTAAAGTCCAGCTTTTTTTCCTTCCATTCAGGGCTGCCGCCGGTTCCCTTGGGTGTCCGGCGGTGGCCCAGCCTCTTCCTTTCCCGCTCTTTTTTTTCCTTGCTTGTCCTGCTGCTTTTTCCCGCCCATGTTGGCTTTTTCCAGACCCTTGTGGTCATGCTCCAAGTGGTTTATCCACAATGTTTTCTGATTTCTAGATATGTTTGACCTTGCTCTTTGGATCCGAAAATTGCAGCTTGGGGAGCTTCTAATGGTGGTTTGTTGTTGGGGGTCTGCTCCATGTTGGTGTGTTCATCTCTTTTGGTGGACAGATTCACTGTTCCTCCCTTCCTTCTACCTTTGCTTTGCTTGAAGCCTTTCGGTTAACTGTTGGGAGGGTTTGGTGTCATCTTCGGTGCTATGGGTTGTGGTTCGCTGGTTTTCTGGAGATGGTGAAGATGAATCTTCTCTTTTCCGGTTCCTGGTCAGCCATGCCTCCGACTTCCTCGGCCTCTTTCAGCTCAGAGCATCCCAGTTTCAGCATGCTCACCGCCGAGTTTTCTCTTCCACGAGATTCACTGTGATGGGTCGTCTTTGAACGATCCCCAGGTGGCGGCTTATGGCGATGCAATATTCAATAGCCATGGGCTTGTCTGGTTTCGGGCGAGTTGAAACCTTGCTTGTGCTGTGCTGATTGTTGTGGAAGCAAGGGGTTCTGGGTTCACATTGATAACCTTCTGTTGGAGATCAATCTTTTCCCGTTCTTTTTCTGGCTACTTCTTTTGGTTTTGATTGCTCTGACTTTTGAGTCCATTGTTGTTTTGCTTTCATTGTGTTTCTCTGACTCTTTGTAACTGTGATTCTCAATGCAATACAAGTGCTCCTCTTGTAAAAAAAAAAAAAGTTAAACGTGAAACAAGCACATCCGTAAGTCTTTTTTTGGCTTAGATGGTAAAACCTCCCACAAGTAAAATGGAGACAAACCAATGCTTATGAAATTTTACCGTTCCAAAAGAAACCTGTAATGGTTTTCTTGGACAATAATTGCCACAATTTAGACAATGGACTATCCAACTAAATATATATTTTTTCTTCTTGGTTCACATTTTTTTTTACATTGCAACAAAAACACAAATATACTAAACACAATTTATTAGATGGCAAGTCGCCTTGCTACAGTAAATGATACAGGGTTGAGCACCAAAATTTACTATTTACAGTCTATCAAATCAGCTAAACTACAACCCATCAGTTACAGATACTGCTCCCAGCTTTCCAGCTCCTGCAAACTAATATGATCGCTGCTCAAATTCAAAATGCCGGATTGCTCTTCGACCTTCTCCACCAGAAGCTTAAGCAATGGGATCTTTGACAGGGTTCTACGCGAACCCACCATGATCAACTTCTTCTGCACAATGCAAAAGGGTAACCATTTATTTAATCGACCCGAATCCTACACAGACAAATAAATTTTGGTAATTTGGTACCTTGGCTCTTGTGATTGCCACATTGATCCGATGCCAGTCTCCAAGTAGTGAAGAACTGTAACTCCTGGGATTTTCGGCTGACCTCACGAAAGATACCATTATGCAGTCCTTATCTCTACCCTGATTTTTTGTGTTGGGAAGAAACAGAATTTATATATTGGAAGTACCAGAAAGCTACCATCTGATTGAGTAAAGTGGCAATGAAAATGCAGTCCTAAATGTCAAACCTGATATTTGTCGATCGTGTGTACTTCGACAGAAGTTGGACTAATAACAGCCTTAATAAGGTTTGCCTGAGAGTTGTAGGGGGTGATGATACCAATGTCTTTGCCTTCAGTCCCACTGCTAGTCAGTACTTTGATCACCTAGACCATTAATGTAGGTAACTTCAAGTCCAGAAACAGATAGTATTGAACTTGGATAATGAGGGCTATAAGCAGTAAACTTACCTCAGTGACTATGTAAGCTTCAAGTGGGTTCTTCAATGACGTTGAATCTTTGGGCACAAGCGTAGGTAGCATATCTGTGTTAATAAACACCACAGCCCTGTCTGGACTCAAGACCTGCCACCCAAAAATTGGAGAAGCACATCAATCTTTTATCCTAACTAAACAAATTCTAGAAGTCAAGTTTCCGATCAGATTAAAATATGCGAGTTGTATGAACTTTTACCGAATTGACCGAAGATCAATATAAAATCAGACAACTCCATTACCTCCTTCAACCATAGACAACAAGACTTGAGACTGGAAACCTTGAGCCTAGTGTTAGCTACCTCTGAGGAGCCACATTGCAGTCTATCACCATATATCAAGGCATTCGATAGTTTCATAATACCTTCAGACATACGATACTGCATGGAGACAAATTATTCAGATAATGTTTTGCAAACAAGAAAAGATAACATCATTGCACATATCTTTGGTGTTTATGATGAGAGGATACCTGACTCTGCAAAGCTGAAATTGCTTCGGGATGTGCTTCACACAGCTTGCAGAATAAACTTATCCCCATTCCATTCTCTCGTGCCTCTGCACTCTACAAATCGAGTCACCAAACAATCACTTGAATGACAAACAATATGAGCAACAAAGTGAACCAACCTGGAGGAAGACGAGGGTCTGAACTTTGTTACCTGAACAAGTGGGGGTAGTTGATAGTGGTCACCAACAAGAACAAACGTCGAACTAAACATCAAAGGTCCAAGTGATATCTGACAGGGACAGAAGATCAATCAGTCATTAAACTGAAGAAACTTCACTTTCTTTCTTTCAACAAACTGTTTTCATTCTTCGACATAATAAAAACCTCCCACTTGACTATACACATACCGGGAGAGTGATCTGCCCGGCTTCATCCATGATGCACACATCGAACTTTTTCCCTGTAAGCAAGGGACTAGTGATTCCCAAACAAGTTACGGCAACAACTTTCACCTGTTCTAATCTCAGCTTGATATACTCCATGTTGTCTGTATCTGTAGTGAATCAGCAGCACACAATTTGCAATGAGAAACAACAAAAGGATGACTCTTGTATAAGCAAAGCAAGTGACAACGACATTTCTATTTGTTTACCAGCAAAGCAACTCCCTTGGATTTCCTCGTGAACGGAGCCAAGTCTTCCAATTCGTAGGAAATCAACTCCCTACAATTACTCAAATTGTTTAATAAAACAAAATTGATCATATCCATTCCAGGTAGGACGGGCCAACCAGACATGATTAATGAGTCCCTAATGTTTGTTGAGAATTGACAGAACTATTTTTTTTAACACATGGAAAGTGGCGGCCGGCAACCCACATTGTGGCATGAGACCCACAGCATAACCATCTGACAACCACTTGAGAATTATCTACTTCATTCCCATTTTTCTATTTCTGAGGAGCAAATAATTCCCTTCCAAAGGTTGCCACTTGATTCCATTATACCCTCGTCAATGGCGGACCAACATTCCACTTCCCACCTCCACCGTCCACTTCTGCCCACGCCCACCGTCGCCTCCACCACCCATTTTGACTGCAAAAATTTCTTCTCCTCCAATTTTGCTGTCTTCCTCCGCCTCGCGTTAATCCTCTCCGTTGGACTTGTCTCTTTATGGGCCAGCCACGAAGAATCTAAAGGCTTCCAAGTCCAGATCTTTAACGATGCCGGAGACTCCCCGGCTGGCAAACGATTCGCCCTCTTCTACATCTCCAATGACCGAGCCACCAGAATTCTCCTCAACGCCAGTACTTTCATCGAGCACTTGGTCTATGCCCCCGACGACCATCCAAATCAGAGGAAGCCAGTTCGCCGGGTCACTATCCGTCTTACCGCCACCGGCAACCTAACCGCCGATGAAATCGTCACGAGCCACGGAAGCGCCGACGAATTTGTCATCCGATTGAGTCCGTCCCTGATGCAAGGGCCAACTGCCGGAAGCAGAGACACTGCCATTGCTTCCGCCCTCTTGCGAGGCATGGCACGAGTCTGGCTGTGGGACGGCGGGGAGGAGTCCAGAGCTCCATTGTGGGTGATCGAAGCTGCTGTGGAATGCGTGAGCAGGATGGCAGGTTTCGGCGTCGGTGGTAGTTGGGAGAGATTGCCGGCTGAGATCGGTGATGGTGGCCGCCGGCGGCTGTGCTGGGCGGAAACGACGGATGCTAGGACGCTGGCGGGATTTATGGAGCACTGTGAGCGACGTAGTAAGGGATTCATCCGGCGGCTGAATCAAGCTCTGAGAAGCGGGTGGAAGGATCGAGCGACGGTGGAGGATGCGGCAGGGAAGACGGTGAAGCAAATGTGTGAATCCTACGAACACTCTTCACGGCCAAATTCTATTGTTGATTCGTGACAATTCTGATTTGTGTCGGAATAATTAGATTAATATTTTTATCCGAAATTATTTAATTCATTCAAAATCACCCACCTGGCGGTAAAAAAACGGACTTGCTCATTCATCTACCGCCTTTCTCTTCCCGCCTTTTTAGTCTATGAAATAATTTCAATTTGCCATTTTTTACATCTAGTTCCAGCATCATTTTGTATAAATAATTTCTTTTAAGGCCAAATACACTTGTGTAGCCAAAATTTTGACGATTTTGCCAAATATAGCTATTTTTGGGAAATACTAATAATAGCCAGAATTTTAAAAGTTTGATGACAATAATAGCCATTTTTGTTACATAATTTAACGGCGTCAATGACACTGTTAGTTAATTTAACGGAATGCTTAATTGGCTGTCAACTCACCCTCTCTTTCATTTCCACCTCAGCATTCACTGACAGGTGGACGACACGTCATTACAAAATAAAAATAAAAACAAAAAAAAAAAGGAAATGCTTCATCTTCTCTGATCTCTCTTACTCCCCTTCACCTTCTCCAATCCACTCCCTGCCTCCAATATTTCGAGAATCAAATCTAGTATCTCCCCTCTCTCTTAATCCCCTTCTTAATCTTCTCCGATCCAACTCCCTACCCCCTAGTTTTTCGAGAATCAAATCCAGTATCTCCCCTGATCTCTTCTGCCTGGTCCGATTTTCTACCTCCGATCTCGATCTGTGAATATATCTACATCTTAACTGGGGATTTCAAATCGGCAACACTTGAGCTCGAACCAAATCCCAATCCCTATTCCCAAATCGCCAATCTAGATCCCCCGCCAAAACATAAACGCAATCCCTATTTCCCAGATCGCCAATCCAGATTCCCAATCCCTAGTCGCCTTCGTTCAGCTGTCGTCAATCCTCCGCCGCACCTAACGGTTCCTATAAGATCTAACTCAAGTTCTTCATATCCTATAAATCCAACTGCAACTTCAACCCGAAGTTGTAGCTGATCAAGGCAAGGGATAGAGAGAAGTTGGACGGGATGTCGAGCGTGAGGTCGGCGAAGACGGTGGGCGAGGTTGGGGCGAAGGTGCAGAGAGTGTTGGGGGATCTGGTGGCGAAGGGGAGAAGGCTCAGGTTAGGCTGACAAGGTGGTGGGATCCAGTGGCCAACGGGGATTTGTGTTGGGCTGTGCTTTGTGGTGGCGATGATTTGGGGTTGTGCTCGGCGGCGGCGGGTGGTAGGAGGGGATAGTCGCTATTTTTGAGCGGCGGTTGGACAGAAGGGAAAGAACCGAGAGGGAGAGAGAAAATAAAAAAAATATATAATTTTTATTTTTATTTTTTCTGTTAATTCCAACTCATATTTTTATTGACTAAAAGGTTGACATGTCAGCTTTTCCATTAGTCCAGTCAACTAACACCGTCAAACAATTGGACGGAAGTGGCTATTTTTGGTATTTCCCCAAAAGTGGCTATATTTAGCAAAACCATCAAAATTTTAGCTACTGACCTTCTTTTAATCTTAACTAAATAATTTCATTAACTTAGCATCCAAGCCGTTTACCATAAAATTTCCATTAAAAAGTCACAGAAGGATAAGGGACATTGACCTGAGCTTTTAGTTTGATCAGTAAGTTGTCAATGGCAGAGTTTGTATAGGACGTAAGCAAGACGGATGCACCTCTAAGTAGGAAAGCCCTCACAGCATGCACCACGGTGGATGTCTTGCCAGTACCAGGCATGCCTAATACCAAAGCATAGTCCTTAGCTGCAAGCATCTGAAAGCAGTATTAAGTACAAGGCAATGAGGACGAGAATGAGGCAAATAAAAGTTTCAGAGGTTGACCAAATAGCTGATAGGGAATTTGGTGCCAGAAATGAGGATCAACAATGGACTGATACGAACCTTAAGAATTGCACGACGCTGATCACTGTTTAAGCTCTTCACTGACCAAATGTAAGAAATTGCTGGGTCTTGGCTATAAATACATCCACTTTCAAATCTGGGGGCCTGAGATGGTGTGATTGTAGCAATCAGTCATGTCAGGAACCCAATCCTACAAGGTGTTTTTGGACGAAAGTAGAAGTAGATTTGGACATTCACCTCAAGGTCAACAATCATTCTGCGAAGATGAGTACTTTCTTCACTCTTCAGACAGAGTTGCGTAATGTTGGACCTACAAACAGAAAGGAACGAGGTGTACATTATATACTACCTTAATACCAACCATGCTGTGATTTAGGCGAAACTGGGCAAAGTTAAATGAGCAATCAGGTAATTTACCGCATAACAGAAAATGAAGTCACAGATTCATCTTTGTTAATCCTCCAGACTTTATGAGCGATATCATCTTCCTCTGAGGAAGTGCGGCGGGGTAGTCTTAAGCACTTAGAAACGGAGACCTGCATAAAGATTGAATCATAAAAAATGTGAGTCAAACCACTCCTTTGAACATTGCACTTGAGAAAACAGTAATTGCAGTGTTTCAACATAATACTGAAGGGAAACTCATGAATCCGATTCATTACAGAAACGTGGAAGCGGTTGATATCTGCTATCACGCCTCTCGTGATGGTTTGCTGGTCAGGTTCAGTGCTAAGAACCTAGTCACAAAAATAGCTACAATTGATCAGCAGTATGATGATGAGCTGTTAACATGATAGTCTGTACTTCAGTGAAAATATAGAGCGAAAGGTTTAGCAAATAGAATCAAGTACCACAAAGTCTCCAGTTTTAAACATGTGATCCAGATCATGGGGGCCAGACAGTTTTTTGCCATCAGTGCCATGAGTAGGCGAAGTTTTACACACAAAACGGTAGATGAATCCATTGTCTTTGGTAGATGACTCGCATGGAAGTTTACTTGTATCAAGTAGAAAAGATGGTAGACTACTATTCGAAGACCAGATCTCATTCTTCCCCAGCTGCAATAGATAGAAAGACACATCGCATCAGAAGATTGAGTTCCATAATTTGCTAAACCTTGAACGCATAGTGAACTTCCACCTGTGTTTCTTTCGCTTCCAAGTCAGTCAACCGATCCCAGTGGCGGAGGAATGTATGATGACCAGCTGTTAGATGGCGAACATTTGATTCAAAAACATCGCCAAGGCCACTTTCCTCTGCACTTCCACCATGGACCTGCAGCAATGAAGATGGATACTATATGATTAGTCAGCAGCTACTAACTGGAAGTTTTATACTTAAATTTCTTAAAATGTTACCTTATGATAGATGGTACAAACATCAAGATGCCGGCAGGTTCTGCAGGTTCCTGGGCTCTAAATAAGACATGTAAAGAGAAACATACACATAAGTACTTGAAATCTTGCAATTTTGTATTTTAGCGACAGTTCTACCTGTAACATTGGAGGCAGCACTTGTGAAATTAATGCCTTTCTGATATCATTTGCAAGCTCATTCCGACGCATCATTACTCCAACAACATCAGATCTTCGTACTTTAATTCCCTGTGTGAATAGGGATAGGCAAGACAGTAAATCATATAGTTGTGGAAACTAGAACAGTTGAGAAGCACAGTTATAAACATACCTGTGTACGATCTGGTTGAAGGTAATACAAGAGTCCAGAATCAATATGTTCCTGATACCTGGCGGTGTGCCAACCAAGTACACAAAAGGGTTGAGCACACTCTCAATTGTTCTGGTTAAGTGAGGTGTGCTATCCCAAGCTAGCCTCTCATTATTCTGAAGAAGAATACAATTTCATACCTACCTCTCAGACATAAGGAGAGTGTACAAGATTACTTGGACACTGTGCTCAGTTGATAGCTGCCAGAAAGAAATAACAGCCAATAGTGAGCAAGGGGGAAAATAACTTGCAAAAGCTGCATTGAGAAGATCACAAGAGGATTTTTCCAGTATATGAAGAACAAACATGAGTTACATAATATTTCATCCAACGTCAAACAATTAGGAACTTTAACCATACCTGTACATCCCGAACTTTCCCGGTTTTGAACTCTAGAGGCATGATCTTCTCAGCTTTTCCATTAGTACTTGACTCAACTGACACTTTAAGAGAAGCATCAATATTTCCTTTTAACCCATATTTGGGAGCCCAGCCCATCTCCTCAATGTCAAAGACCTACAATGATTGTCATTAGATTCCAGTTTGTTGGACTACTGCAAACAAGAAGTCAAAGAGATGGTACAAAACGAAGACTGGTTGTGTGCTTGGCAAAACAGGATAGTGAACTCACTTTCAGTTAATCCAAAAGCGGCAGTCAATATATTCAACAATTATATAATCAGCCTTCACCGATCATGACTGCATATTTCATTTCAGTGCAACCACCAGATATGCAACTAAAACTCTTAGAAAAAATATGATTCCAAATCGCTCATAATGGACAAGAGCAATTTAAAAAAAAAGGAATCAAGTGTATGACATATGACCACTGAGAAACTAGAAATTAACAAATACTGTTAACCAAATATCATTGGCAAAAAACATACTGTTAAACAAGAGTAGCACAGATCCCCTTACCTCTGAAATTCTTAGCTTCTTTATCCCTTCGTTGCTACCAAATTCAACTTTTGACAATTGTAAATCCTACCATGAACAGACAGAAAGGTAAACTCCTAGATATAACTTAATGTTACACACAAGACAAAGGAATTAAATTTTTGTTCCGTGGACATTTGTATCTTGATATTTGCCAAGTATACAAGGTCCACACAACAGATATCTTGATGAAAAGGAAATCTCCCGTACTACAGAATATAATACATATGACAACAGATATATATTATACCTGTGACTTCTTAAACATAATAATCCAATTAACCATTTTGGGTATCAAGTCAACCAAGGTCTTCAGCGTTTCATTTTCATCGACTGCACACTCGAGATAAATAAGGGATTATAACTTCCTAACACGGTCAACCATATCTAGCATATGGTACAAAAACAAAATTTATATTAAGAAGTGAAAGTTACCCCCGCATGCGTACAAACTCTCAATGTTCTTTTGTATGACTGTTCTGGCATACGCCTTCAAGAAGTCAGCATCAGGATTCTCCTTTATTAAAGCAGCCTGGAAAAACAATTCACATAATAGTTAGCTGACCACAAATGAACCAAGTTCAAATGTACCTATGCACTTGACAAGAAGGATGCATGCTAGAGAGAGATATTGAAATTAGATGATAGGGAGATAATCAATCTGATCATGAAACCTGAAAAATCTGATGCAGCAAAGTACCAATTAATGCTGCAGCAGAGTGCTCAAAGCTTTTTAGTCTCTCATCAAGTACAGCTCGCCTATGACAACCGAAGCTTCCGGCAACCTGAAAACACTCTTGACACATTAGGAGAATCATAGTGAAGAGCCACAGTTCTGCAACAATCCTTTGAAGGAAAATGCCACAAGGCGCAATATAAGGACAAATAAACTACTCAAATGCCAATTTGGCTCACAGAAGAATAATTACCCGAGTTCCAGAGACCAATATATCTGGGTGAACAACCAAAAAGTTATGGTCCTTGTCGACATTGCACTTCCTGGATTCGTCAAATTCACCAATCACATTGACAGTATCTCCGGGTGCAACAACACTGTAATACCTGGTAAAAGTTCAAAGCATTTATAAAACAGTTAGCTCTGTTGGGTGATCAACGGGTATTGAAAGTTACCAAATATCAAAGAGTTCTATCAATCAAACCACAACCAGTTTACTCATGCAACCACCTTGCAAAGCATTATAACCTGGATGTAAATTTCAAAACTATGACAACAAAGCTCACAAGAAAATTAAAACAATCAAAGGGATGCAAAAAGTTGCAAGCCATCATTCAAAATTCCGAACACCAAGGAAGTAAGTACCACTCTTCCCACAAATAGACTGATTGCTCTTCTCCTGTTTTCTCGTTAAGCAAGCGAAGAACCTGAAAAGTAACTGATTCTTTTCAGTTCCTTGGTACATCTTCTAAAATACATCGTTTAAGTCAATTTATGATAAAAACACACCTTACACGGTCGTTCAACTGCCACACCATCACTAGGCCCATGCTTTTCACAAACCTAGAGCAAAGAAAAATATAAGATTAAAGATAGATCTACTAACACCAGAGAGGTTGCTCTTCCTACGGGAAAGGACCAAAAGTAAAAAACACACCTCCAGTACAAGAAACTTGCTACTTGAGGATATCTTGCGAGCCCTTTCAATTGTTTGTGGAGGATCGGAATGGAACGCCTTCTGCTGACAACCTTTTTCTTGGACTTGGGATGAACGCGCATTCAAGTCCGCAGACATCAAGTCTTCAATAGAAATTGCATCCTCAACTTGATCTAAAAGTTCAATCAATGCCTAAGACAAAAAGGAAACATACAGATAATAAGGATGACCATATAAAGATTAGTCCATCATTCCAGGATTTAAGCCTCTCAGTCTCCATTTGAGTGTGTTCTTTTCAAATGAACATTCAAGCCTTGCCAGTAGTAAATCAACTGTTCGAGTTTATCATACTCCAAAGATTTCAAAGCATGAACACAGTTAAACCTACAAGACCGGAACACACCTTTTTGTGGTGCCTTTGAATTAGTTCCTCAGATGCTCCAGCAAAAATGTTGGCCATCTGCTCATGTTATTGGTAAACATAAACATTTTAGGAAATCAAGCCCACATTTTCAAGAGATCAAAGTGAGGCAATATTACCGGGAGACTAAGTACCTTATCTTGATGGCAGGTTAGAGATGGGGGGGTTTTGAATGGACTGGGTTGACTAGATACACAACTCCCCTCTGAGATGGCTACCTCCGGTGATGCTTTTATCCTTTTGAAGCCAGCTTTAGTTTCCCTGACTGGGGCTAATGAAGAAGACAGCTGCGCAACCTTGTCCTGTTCGCCATAGATAAGAAGAATACATTCAAGTAATGCCAAATGAAAGTATAGCAAGAGAATAACCAATTGCAGCAAAAGCGAAGTAAAATGCCTTATCTAACGCGCAATGGTGAATAGCGAAGGAGGCAAGCTTCGAAGCATCAGCCAAGGTCTTAATGCTGTCAGGCAAATGCTTGGAAACAGCTTGCAGCCTATCGTTCACGGGCGATATCTTCCATGTAATCTCGTCTCCCCCATCATCCTGGGTCAGCTTTATCAGCTGTTTCACAACATAGCTTAGCAGAACCCGAAATTCCGAATTGAAAGAGAACGAGATAAGAAAAGAGTGACGATTACCAGTTGAGGCGAGAAATGGAATTGCTTCCGGGAGGGAGACTTAGAAGCTCCGGGCGAGACGAAGACTTGACCCGTCGGCTCTGGTTCATCGGGAACAGATTGTAGGACTGCCGCGGGGGGCGGTGAAGAGATTTGAGAAGTTGAAGCAGCAAGAGCCGCACGATTAGGGTTTTGGGGAATGGGAGCGGTAATATTGGGGTCGGCGATAGGGGAAAGAAGAGGACGTTCAGCAGGCGGCGCTGGTGGCGGAGGGTTTGAATCATTCTGAAGAGCAGCCGGAGAACCGATTTGGGTCTGGTTGTGGCGATTGAAGAAATGCTGAATCCCAAACTTCGAAGGCTGCTGATGCAGAGAATCAGCAGAGGATTCGGATTTCTTCTTCTTAGCTGTAGAAGTAGAAGAGGTGGTAGAGGACTTCAGCTTCTTTCTCGGTGGCATTTTTTCCCCTTTTTTCTTCTAGTGATTGCAAAAATGGCGGCCGAGAGGTTGAAGAAGGCGAGTTGGCGGTGTTGTTTGCTGGGAAATTTCTTTTTTGTTTTCAACTCCACTTCAGTCTTCCCGCTGAAAGTATACTTTTGCCTTCTCCATTTCCCGCCCATTCTTTTCCTCTGAAAGACGTGGGCCTATTCCAATAAAAAAATAGACGTGGACTGTGGGCCCTAGTTTCTCTGGGCTTTTCCAATGGGATAGGGGTGGGCAAACGGTTCGGTAAACCCGAACCGAACCGAATTAAACCAAACCGAAACCGAGTTAATGCTATTCGGTTCGGAATTCGGAAGGAAAATATGGATAGTTCGGAAACCAGGGTTCTTTCAACCGAATCGAATTTCCGACCGAAAAACCGAAATATATAATTGGAAGCTCCAAATGGTGGATTTTTATGTTTGTAGTTGTTTTTAGACTTAAATATTTGAAATGTTTTATGACTTATGTGTTGAAAAGTTTGGTTTTATCATTGATGATGCATATAATTGATATTTATTGTTTATATTAGGGGTGAAAATAATTTAAAAGTGAGAAAATACAAGTAGATTCACAAATTCGGTTTTGTGCGAAAAAACGAACCAAACCGAATTATAGTTCAGTTTAAACTGACCGAACCGAATTATAATTCAGTTCGAATTCGATTTGAGATTTGGGAGAATTCGGGGACCCAATATTCATAATTTCGGTTCGGTCGAAACCGAACCGACCGAATGCCCACTCCTAGGACTATATACTATAACAACACTCCTTTTGTTGTTATTGTAACAACACTAGTCTCCAACCAATATGAAGCTAGGGTTGTGATGACTTTTTATTAGTTGAGTTGACCTAGTGTAAAATCAAAGCAGGGGTATAATTGTCATTATGAAAAAATAAAATATAACATATTAAAAAATATTTTTTTATTTTCTGCCCAAAATTTTGGTCGCCGGTTACCGGAATATGCTATTTTGTCATCGGAATATGCTTACCGTCGCCGAAATATGATCACCGCCGTCGGAATATGCTTACCGGCGTCGGAATCTAGTCATCGAGCCGGAATATGCCTATCGGCGCCGGAATCCGGTCGACGGTCATCAGAGTTTGGTCAACAGTTTTCGTTGACCGGTCAACGGTCAACGACCACCGGATGTTATGGTCTTCATTGTGAGATTTATGGTTTGGCTTCTCACATTTTTGTATGCCTTTTGTGGTTTGCTTTATCGTGTTTATGGTTTGCATTGAGAAGTTTTTGGTTTGCTTTATCGTGTTTGTGGTTTGCATTGAGAAGTTTCTGGTTTGCTTTCAAAAAATTTGTGTTTTGCATTGAGGGGTTTGTGGTTTGTTTTGGGAGATTTGTGGTATGCATTAGGAGGTTTCTGGTTTGTTTTTGTGGTTTGCTTCAACGTGTTTGTGGTTTGCATTATGAGGTTTCTGGTGTATTTTTGAAAATTCTGTGGTTTGCTTTGTGAGGTTTCTGGTTTGTTTTAATATATTTTTGGTCTGCATTAGGACGTTTCTGGTTTGTTTTTGTGGTTTGCTTTACGGTGTTTGTGGTTTGCGTTATGAGGTTTCTCCCTTCTGGTGTGCTTTCAAAATAGTTGTGGTTTGGTTTGTGGGATTTCTGGTTTGTTTTAGGGAATTTGTGGTATGCATAGGGAGGTTTCTGGTATGCACTTTGTGGTTTGTTTACTGTGTTTTCGGTCTGCACATGAAATATTTGTGGTTTGCTTTGTGAGGTTTCTTGGTATGTTTTAGAAGATTTATGGTCTGCATTACGAGGTTTTTGTGTGCTTTAAAAACATTTTTGGTATGCTTTATAGTGTTTCTGGTATGGTTAAGGAGATTTGTGGTTTGTAAATAATATTATTTAGACAAATCTAATAAGAAACCATCGAGTAACAAGTACCATTCAACATTATCACAACAACCGACGCAGAAAGGACAAAGTAGACTTAGCTAGACAAAGCTGAAAGAGGCCATAAATAAACATCAATCATCCACCGCCGAAGTTCGAAGACCATTATCACTGAACTAATGTGGAGCATGAGGAGAAATGCAACTCAACGAAAGCAACACTGTAACTCTGTAAGGATAGATAGATGTGGCTTGAAGAGCAATGTTAGAATGTCTGCAAAGGTAAACTCAACGAAACTTTGTCCCCCAATCGCTTGCAGGCAATCACAAACTTCTGTTGATTCAATCCCATAGCTTTGATTCACGAATCCGACCACCTCACCAGCTTCGCTGGCCATCTCCCTGTTTTTCCCAACGTCAACCTCCCTCCGCCTCTATAAGAAGAAATTCCAATCAGCATAAACCAGACACCCGTCCAGAGAAGAAATTGAACGCGAAAACTACAACAATCAATCGGCTAGAAAAGAAGAATCTAGTTGCTTCAGCAAGCCCCGCAGTCCCAAATAGTCCTCATCTTCTCTCCGCTCCAATTTCAGGTTCTAATGCCCCGCCCACAGTCGCGAGCGACGTCGACAGCGCCAACACAGATGACATCTCAACCCTCCACAGCTACTCGGTGTCCTGCTATTTGCATTCCAACCACCACCAGATCGGCACCAAGGGTCTCGGTGGAGAGTTGCAGTCGCTGATATGCGAGGCGCCACCGTCACCAGATCTACAACGATAGAGGTCATCGGCGAGGGATAAATGGCGTGGGAGAAGGCGCAGCGGGTGATGCGGAGAAGATTCCGTCAATCGAGATCGATGGAGCAGAAGAACCCTTTATGTTGTTCGTCGTCCGCAACAGTTGATTCATCATTTATGGGGTTTCGTCATCACCGCCTCGCAAGTCGCGATTCAAGTGCCGAGCAAATCAGCCGTCGATGATGAGACGCGGAGGAGAAACGCCGTTGGAGAAGAATCGGTCTCTGTGTACATGACATTCGCCGGCGCCGGAGTAGGGTTTCTCCGTCGGAGGAGAGTTGAAATTTGGGGATCTCATATGTAGCCGGAGGAGAACGACAACGATGGAGAACAAAACGGAGGAGGAAACGCATACATGGTTATTTTTTATTTATTTTTATTTTTATTGTAAGTTTCTAGTTTTGCCCTTAATGAATCGTGTTGTTACGATGACAATAGATAGAGTGTTGTTATACTATCTTCTCCCTTCTCAATTGTCCTTTTGGCTTGAGCTTCGCTTTTTTAACGGTTTCCACCGGTTGCACAAAATTAAATTTTGACAAATGACTCCAGCCGTTATCACGTCATCCCCTAAAACCCCTGCGTCACTATAAAAGAAGCAAACAGCGCCAAATAGCAAAACCCTAATCTCCGGCTCCGCCATCGTTCGAGCTTTCTCCCTTTGCTACCGAGAAGAAGAAAGAGGTGCCGCGTGGATTCAAAAGAAGCTAAAATGGGAAGCGACAGCGAAACGGAGAAGTCAGCACAGAAGCAAAAGAAGGCCATAGCTCTGGCTCCCATCGCTAAGCCTCTAGCCGGCAAGAAGCTCTCCAAGCGAACTTTCAAGCTCGTCCGCAGAGGTATATCTATTTGTCGCTCGAGTTCGCGGTTTTCATCTTTAATTCATCTTTGGGTTATGCTGTTGATTTATTCCCCCCTTGAATGAAATGGGTGTTTGGTTTCTTATTTGGTGACTGATTTTTGATTCAGCTGCTGAACACAAATGCCTGAAAAGAGGAGTGAAGGAGGTCGTCAAGAGCATTCGGAGGGGCGGTAAAGGGTTAGTTCTTGTTTAAGCTTTCGTTGCTTGATATTGATGGATTGAACCATAAAATTTCCCCCATTTGATTGAACCTTTTGTATCGGATACTATGAAATTTGAAGAAAGAAGAAAGGGAACTAAGATGTCTCACAGTTTAGTAGTGGACTAGTGGATATTAGATTCTTACACTGGATTGATACTCGATACTACTACTCACCTCCTAATAGTGTAAAAGAAAATGAACTAATGCATTCTGAAAGTTGAAGCTGGCTCATTTTGAATGAGCTGGATTTGTATGTTAATTGGGTTAATACTTAATACCTTATGGCTTTTGCGAAGCTGGTGTTCTTTTGTAGTATCTAATAATAATGCTCTGGACTGTTTTCTGATGAAGATAAAGGATATTGTTTGGCTTTATAGAATGGTAGTGGTGGCTTATCTTGTGGGTAATGAACTGAAAGAGATGTCACTACCGGATGTATGTAATGGAATGATGTTCTGGTTTCAATGCAGGATATGCATTATTGCTGGGAACATATCTCCAATCGATGTCATCACTCATGTTCCAATATTGTGTGAAGAGTCCGAAATTCCATACATATATGTCCCTTCCAAAGAAGTAAGTCCTGTATTTTGTGTGACATTGTGTCTTCTGTGTTTGGTGATTCTGTTGTGAATGGTAGTAGATGGTTCCACTTGCTGAGAGCAGAACACTCATGGTTTGGTCACTTCCCACTTATTGATCTTTGCCATTCCAGGATCTTGCAACTGCAGGAAATACAAAGAGGCCTACATGCTGCGTTCTCGTACTGACAAAACCTCCCAAGGGAGAGATTCCCAAGGAGGAGCAGGAGAAGTTGAAGGCTGATTACGATCAAGTCGTAACTGATATCGCTGAGCTCACTTCCTCTATGTTTTGATCCATAAGACTCTGCAATTTCTTGTATAACCTAGAAAACATTGAATCCTGTTATCAGGTTAATGGTATGCAGTTTTAGCTTATCCAGTCAGACTGTTGTGCTTTTTTCCATGATTTGTATGAATGAGCTATAAATTTGCCATCCTCTTTTTCCTTGTTCCTTCTGTTCTTCTCATCCATGCCTCCCTGGCCCTTTCATTCTTGTGACACTGGCCATTGTTGAGATTCCACGGGAAGATTATGGTCGTAGGTTTAGCAATGTCTATCATCAAATCATTCATTATACTTCTGCACAAACAAATAGACATCAATTTTAACTTACACTCCCTACCTGAAATTTACAACTGACAGCAAAACAAATCACTCCTCTACGACGTGATAAAGATTTTGGATTTGGGAGGTTCTTAGTTTGATTTCTTTTGCAGCAGTTTGTTCAATTGAATTCCCTACTGAATAAGGTTATGTGTCAATTTTAATCCTGCTCATGAATTTTTTGCATGATTATGGAACAGAAGTTTGCAACAGTACTGCCTGCTAGGTTCATGGAACCTTTTGGAAGGCTAATCTGGGATTTTCCTAGAAAATGACAAGGTCAACCAACTAGTCATATCTTCCCGATCAAGAAAAGGAATCTAGTGTCTAATCTGGCCGTCCAATGCAGACAGGAAGCTGCTCCCTATGACTTAAGCAGTATTAGGCTAACTCCAACCCACAAAGGGGAATTTGGCTCCTCAAATAACCAAATATGACTTTTTAGCTCCCCAAACCCAATTTTCATTCCGACCCTACAAAAAGCTAAATTTAGCTTCTCGCCTCCCTTTTTCAATTTATTTCAATAAATCATACTTATTTGACTTCTAATTTTTATATTTCACTTTAATTTTTTCATAGTTCGTTATTACTTTTGAATACAAAATTTTCGATGTATTTTTTTTTAAATTCCGAGATAATTTTATTTTTCAAAAAATAGTCGTTAAAATATTACCGTTAACTTCGGGACCACTCCAAATATGACCTTTTTTTTTGTAGCCGTTACTTTACGGCCGTTTTTTTTTGTCATTTTTTGCACCATATGTCTTTATAAATGACAGTTCTTCATTTTCATCAACTCAACTAAAACTTCTTCCCATTTCTAAAACAAACACATTCATCATGAGTATCTCAGATAGCTCATCGTCTGGAGGAGAAGAAGAAATCGAAGAGTACGAAAGGTTTCACCACCTACGTTTGAGTTTGATCGGTCGGAGGCTGGCTGAAGGTTCATCAAGTCGCCGTCAAACTACAAGCCTACGTCACATTGATCGTGAGAGGGTCGAATGTAATCGACGTCTTATGAGGGATTACTTCGATCCAAATCCAGTATACAATGCTCGCATATTCAGAAGGCGCTATAGGATGCAGCCAAGATTATTCCATCGCATTATGGGCGACATTGTGAGGTTTGACCCCTCATTTGCTCTAAGGCGTGATAGCTTTGGTCAATTGTCACTATCTCCAGAGCAGAAGCTTACTGGTGCGATGCGCATGCTAGCATATGGTTCTCCAGCTGATCAACTTGATGAATATGTTCGTATGGGTGAGAGCACTTTGATGGAGGTCTTCAGAAAGTTTTGCAACAACATTATCAACATGTACGGGGCCACATACCTTCGCGCACCTACTCCTGCTGATTTAAGGATCTTACTCCGTAAAGCCTCAAGTCGTGGCTTTCCTAGAATGATTGGATCAATTGACTGCATGCATTGGGAATGGAGGAATTGTCCAACTGGTTGGGCAGGACAATACACCGGCCACATGCATAGGCCAACAATCATTCTGGAGACAGTAACCTCCTACGACACATGGATATGGCATGCTTTCTTTGGGACACCTGGATCGAACAACGATATAAATGTTCTGGGGATGTCTCTGGTGTTTGATCGTATCGTCAATGGAAGCGCTCCACATGTACGATTTGAGGTAAATGGTCATGCTTAGAATCAATGTTATTATTTGGTTGACGGTATTTATCCCTCATGGTTGACTTTAGTGAATACCTTCAGCAATCCAAGGTCAAACAAAGAGGCTTTGTTTGCTCAACATCAAGAAGCACACCGCAAAGATGTAGAGCGGGCATTTGGAATCCTCCAAACAAGATGGGAAATTGTTCGTGGTCCTGAAAGAGCTTGGGATGTTGTCACGCTTAACAATATAATGCTGACGTGCATTATATTACACAACATGATAATCGAGGATGAGCAAGTTGATTCTGATGACGAGATGGATGATGACCTTGATTATGAGGTCCATGCACAACCTGAACCAATCAACCGACACGTTTCAACTCTAATTGATTACTTGGCTAGAAATAACAGGCTTCGCTCATCTACAACACATCATGCGCTTAGAAATGACTTGGTTGAGCATCTTTGGAATTTGCACGACAATATCTAGCATTGTTTTACTTCATGTTGCTTGGTTGTTTGTATTTCAAGTTTCAGTGTGTGATTGCATTTCATGTTGCTTGGTTGTTTGTATTTCAAGTTTCAATAAAGTGTGAAGAGTACTTAGTTCAAACTATCAATAACACTTGTTTTTATTACACATGGAATTGCTCAAAGTTCAAAGAGTACACATGACACATGAAAACAACAAAGTTGAAAGAGAACACACAACACATTAAAGCAGTAAAGACAATATAGTACACATAGGACCTTCTTCTAATTATAAATCCATGACAGTAAAGTAATCTCCATCTCCTCCACCACTTTCATCTCCATCTCCTCCACCACTTGCATCTCCATCTCCCCATCACTTGGATAAGAGTTGGGATCATCTTGATCGTACCCATAAATGTCATTTTGTTTACGCCTCCAAAATCTCTTCTTTCTTGGTGTCATCTTTGACAAATCCTTCTCCAGAATAGCCACATTTTGTTGAAGTATTGCAGCTTCCCTCTCTTTCTTCTCCATAGCCCACTTTTCCGCTTCACGCTCCCTCACTTGCCTCTTGTATGCCCATTCCTCTTTCTCCTGCTCTAGTCTCCTCTCTTGAACATTCATTTTTCTGTTTTCGTACTCCATCCACGACTTTTGCCTCTCTCTCATATCATTACCAAACTCTAGCAGTTGACTAGTGTATATGTCTGACGATTCAGCAACTACCTTACCTTTCTTCTTTGCTGCCTTTTGTTTGTCGCGTCCTTCAGGGCGAGTCAACACGAAAGGCGTAGCTCCTTCATCTGGTAAGTCATCAAGGCCTTCCACGGGAGATGATTGAGAACCAAAACCTGTGGGAGAACTTTGGGAACCTTGCCCCGTAGGTGGAATGGGACTAACAAGCAGTTTAGGATTGCAGTACCATTTTGGACAATTTCGAAGAATGTCAAAACAATGCTCAAAATCAAAAGCCTTGTTCCCATTCTCTTGCGTATATATTGCTCTTGCATCCTTTTCCTAATAAAATAATTAGTTCATGGGTTAAAGAAGTTTTTATTGACACATAAAAAATAAGAAAATACACAAGTTGAGGGTCAAAAAGAATACCACATCAAACTGGTTCGTGCCACTCGATTTATGCCTTTGTGCTCTTTGCAAAACTCCCTTCCAAGCATTGCAGTGATAGCTAATAATCCTCATTCGGGATTCCATTGCAATATCAGTACGAGTTGTAGTAGGATCCCATTTTTGATGTTCTGCCGCCACTCTGTCCCACAACCTTGTAGACTTCTGGTTGGTGCTAACCGCTCCATCTTCTGATATCGACACCCAAGCTCTGCACAAGATTTCATCTTCATTCGGACGCCAATTAGGTCCTCTCTTGCCTATCATATTTCTATTTTGAGAGACGATAACAATTGAATTTTGAGAGAATGCGATTTAAGCTCTGAGAAAGAGTGAAGAGAAATCTATGAAGAGTGTTGTAATATATAAGAAAAAATATGGCCGTTAAAATATGACCATTTTTTTATGGCCGTTAAAATATGATCTTTTTTTTTGTCACTACATCAATTATTTCAAATTTAAAATTGAATAACAAACAACCAATGAGAATAGAGGGGAAAAACACCCAAACAACCACTCAACCAACCAGAAAAAAAGGGCATGCACGTCCCGCGCGTCCTGCGCCTTTCTCAACCAGCTGACGTGCCAGCCACTTTTCCCAGCCAAATTCCCCTCCCCTTCCCAAAACCCAGCCAAATATAACTTCCAACAACCCAATACCCATTTTTAGCTTCCTTTTATTTTTGGGGTTGGAGGAAGAAAAAAAGCCAAACATGGCTTTATAGCTTTTTGACAGCATGGGTTGGAGCCAATCTTAATCATGGGGAAAGTGGAAGCAACTTCTCCCCACAGGAACCATTGGCTTTACTTCGTAAATGATCCCCACAACTTTCAGGTGAAAACCAAACATGTCGGGGTCGTTTGGTTTTGGTGATAGTTTTGTTGAGATAGTTACAATACATGCATTGCCCACAATGCATCGTTTTTCTGAATTTTCTGCACAAACAATACAAGTATTGTTTGTTTGATTTGACACAAACTATCACTCAAAATGAGTGATAGTTAAATCTCAAGTTTTTTGTGAGATTGTTTGCTTGAAATTGTTATGTTTTGTTTTTGTTCCACCTGTGACCCTACTTTTTTTTATGTGTGTTGCTTTTTCATATTAAATACAAAGGGTAAAGTGACATTTCACTCAAAAAGTAAGTTAACTTATTTAAAACTAGGGTTAATATTTTCGTATGACCTGAACTTTGACCAAAATAAACATCCTGGCCAATCTTTTCGATCTATAACATCCTGGCCCGAACTATACACCAAAATAAACAATTTGGCCAGATCCGACTTTTGACTGTTAACTTGGACGGTCTCACGCGTTGACCGTTAGTCAACGCGCCATGTCATTGTCAAGTCAGCATAAAATATTTAAAATAATTCACAATTTCCACACATTCCCTAATTTTAAATTATTATAAATTAAAAAAATCATCTAATACCTTAGTTAAACCAAAAATAAAAAACGAAAAAAATAAATATTTATCAGATCTTCTGACTTGGCAGTGACGTGGTAGTGATGTGGCGCGTTGACCGTTAGTCAATGAGTTTGACCGTCCAAGTTAACGGTCAAACATCGAGTTCGGCCAAATTGTTTATTTTGGTGTATAGTTCGGGCCAGGATGTTATAGATCGAAAAGATTGGCCAAGATGTTTATTTTGGTCAAAGTTCAGGTCATACGAAAATATTAACCCTTAAAACTATAATAACAATCACAGAATTCAAACGATGTAAACTACAATACACCATTTTTTGTATATACATGTATATTATTATGCATGCATTGATGACAATACATCAATTTAACTATCACCAAAACCAAACCACCCTGTCATGCACAGTCTAAGCAAAAGATGCCTCCTTTCCTTACTCTTCTTCTTCCTTACATATGTGCTTCTCTCTTCCACATGTCTCCTTTGCAAATATTACATTAGGCTCATCCCTAATAGGTTATGGGGTAGCAACACCAACTCTCTACGGACTTCACCATCTGCCGACTTCGCTTTTGGGTAGCGTTGAGAGCATTGCTGGGTAGCTCCGTGGTCGTGCTGGTGGAGGTTGTGTGCTGTAGGAAGAGTGTTGAGATGGGGTTGGAGTGGAGTGGGGAGGAAGAGAAGGCTATGTTGACGGGTTGGGCATATGATTGCTTTGTTGGAGGGAGGATTGATCTTTTGATGGGTGAAGACTGAAGAGGAGGCAATGGAGGATGGTGGGAGGTTGAAGGAGTGGGTGATGTTTGCTTTGTGGTGCATTGAAGGAGGATCCTTTGGTTAGGCCTACGATGAAGATAGTGGTGGAGATGATGGAAGGTTTCGTTGAAGTTCCTTTGTTGCCTTTTTCCTTCTACGACGCGCTGCAGGCCGAATATTGGAGGGAATTCTAGTTGCGGTTGAAATGTTCATTGATATCGTCTCGTCTATTTCCCATTCCTACTACTGAAATTGCAGGTTTTGTAGATGTACAGGAGAGTATCCAGATTAGAGGTGGCAAATGGATTGATGGGTCTATGGATCAAGTGGATTGGATCAAATGGATTGGTGGATTTATGGATTGGATAAGTGCATTGGCAGATTATTCATAACTCCAAATGGCATCCTCAACCTTGAACCAATATGTAGAAATGTGAAAATTTTAGGTACTAAAATGTCATATGAAAAATTTTAGATACCAAAACGTAAATTTCCAATGATATTTTCGTATAAAAAATAAATATTAGGTACCGAAATATAAATAAAAATATTAGGCACTAAATTAAATCCAATTGGATTTGATTTAAATGGATTTGATTAGTTGGATATTTTGAATGGATTAGTGGAAAAGATTGAGAATTGCCACCTATATATATATATATATAGGCTTCTATGGTACCCCGGGTGAAATCCGAGGTACCGCATACCTCGAGTATGGAAACTCTATCTAGACCTCGAATTACCAGGATTTTTGTGTCTGATATTATACCCTAACCCTTAATGAGTGAACCCTAGGTCATAATTATCTAAATCATAATCTATAAACCCTAAGATGTCGCATTCCTTTTTGTGCCTATATTTGGATGAATCATAACCGTCGATTATTATTTCTAATTAAATTGATCTTGGAGTATAAGATTGGGAGAGTTAAACCTAGATTTTGATCTTTAAGTGTTAGAGTATAGTATCATGTCCGAAAGATCGGTCAATTCAAGGTCTAGATAGTGTTTTCATACTCAAGGTATGCGGTACCCCGGATTTCACCCAGGGTACCATAGAACTCGCCTATATATATATATATATATATATATATATGGTGACTACTTCGGTGCACCTACAAAAATGAGTGCGTTCAATGCACCCAACTCAAAAACTAGTCTTAAGGTGTCGGATTTTGAATTTTAATTTGTAGAATTAGTGTAATATGATGATATAACATATGATAACAACTAATTAGCGGATTACCCTAAGCTATAGACCTCCAATTTTGAGTTATATCCCTAAATCCCAAATTATAAACCCTAACCCTACCCCCAAATCTCTAAACTATAAATCCTTCAAATTAAAGTAAATCTTTAATGGTTTTTGTGCAAATTCATGTGCGTTATTGTTCATCACATCATAAGTGATGATTGACATCATTTTGACATAAATCGCATGTTTAAAATAACGATTATGAAGCGAGTGCACTGAATGCACCCAAAAAAGTGAGTGCACTGAAGACGCCACCATATATATATATATATATATATTTATCACCTTTAAGCCACAATCAAATTATCGGAGTCGTTTGGATGAAAGATTTGTTAATGTGGTATTTGTAGACCCAAATAACTCATTTTTTCTAGTTGTGGTATTTGTGTGTCATTTTAAGAAGTTGATTTTTTTATTATTATGTTTGGATGTTTAAATACAATGGGTTATTTCACATGTGGTATTTGGTGTAAAATACTATATTGCCCTCACTAAAAGGCTGATCTGTGCTTTCTCTTCCTTTCTTATTATCCATCATGAACAAGAACCCATAGTCCAGAAACACCGATTCCTAGATAATTCTCAAAGACCAAACAAATACATCTCCTAACAAAAAATCCATCAACAGGCCCTCCAAATCATCCCGTAATCACCGACGAGTTAGACCTCTCCCACCAATCTGGTCGAGTCCTCTTCAACAAATCCTAAAAACTCTTGGCCTCCAACGACAACTACATCGCCTCTTTCAACATTTTCTTCTTAACCAACCTCTTTCGCCTAGTCTATCGTTGTCATCTGCATCTGAAATCGACACCGTCATTTCCGGCTAGAGTTTCGTCCATCCTTTCAGGAGATTTGCGAATTTCCTTATTATTGGGCTACATAGTTTAGCAGTCTTGGGCTTCGAGGCCCAAAACTGGGAAACCAGCTGGCCCCGCCCAGCGGGGGGTCGGCCCAGCTAGAGGACCGAGGAGACAGACGTCTCTGGTAACCCTAGGTGCGCTGGGAGGCTGATCCCTAAACCTGAAAAGTAGCTAGGCCGCCTGACATAAAGCGATGATATTGACAAGAAGGAAGATCCGCCGAGATATATTCCTCGATTCCGGTAAGACTGAGTATTAATTGCCCGCCGTAGGCGGCCTTCATGGGGAAGAGGCGCACTCTGGGCGTCTGACACAACATTAAATGTCTCATCTACCACTTAACCGAGTATAAATACTCTATGATAGCATTGATGGTACACTCAACTACTCTCTAAACCTAACACATCATCTCCCTCTTTCCCTCTTTAACTTAAGCTTCGGAGAGTGTCCTGGGAAACCGCCCAAGGACCCTTGTCTTGCAGGGCTCATGAGTACGTCCCTTCACCAAGAACAGACGCCTCCACTCGTGCTCTACATAAACTTCCTAGTACTTTCTAGGCTTAAACAATTTGGCGCCGACCGTGGGGCACTAAGTGAGGCACTGAAGATATGGTGGATGGAAGCTTCGAAACTCCTGTCAAAGACATAATCAAAAGGGAAAGCATTCGTGGGATGGAAATGCCTGTGGTGGAAGAAAAAAATGGAGATAAAGGACCGTGTGAGGGACCAGGTACATCATATCTCTAGCATACAGGAAAGCCTAAGCCAAGTCCTAGCTCTACTAAAAGCAAAGGACGTGCTAGAAAGTTTGAGAGAGCAGAAGGACAAGGGCAAAGAAGTAAGAGAAGAAACTCCCGCTAGCCCTGCTCGGACGAATGGCAGGAGGTCTGATGAAGAAGAAAGCAAAGAAGAATTGAACCTGAGCTTCCTAGTGGAACACCTCAAACCTTCATTTGGAAGAACGAAAGGCCATAACGTGTTGTAGAACCCGCTCGCGAAGAGCCTGTTCAAATCACAAGTGCCTCCCAACTTAT